GATAGAGGAAGCAAAGGAAAATTTCAGAGCGAAAATTAAAATGTTGTAGTGTCTATGGTATACTGGATCCAACACCAAACAGAATTAAGCTACATCTTCACTTAAGCAAAAGCTTGAAGTTTAATTTGCATCGTGAAATCGTAGAGATCACCAATGTGCATATACCTTGCCTCATCACCTCGTACGTACGGAACAACATAGAATGGACTCAATCTACGACTTTGCTCCTCACTTTTCACTCATGCCTCATTGGCCATTTACACTTTTTTCCAGTTCGGTAACCCACCAGTACAGTTAATCCTCTTCCTTTTATTTTCAGGATCAATTCACCTGAAGGAAGCAATGCATAATATAACCTACAACCCTCAGGATGAATCCGTGCGCTTCCTCTGTGACATAGTCGGTCAGCCGATTCCTAACATCACTTGGTATCGCGGCAACAAGCGCATCAGGCCGGATGATGGCCGCGGAAAGTATCGCATCAAACCGAAACTCTGGGGTAGTGTGTAAGTGCTTATCTGTCTCTCCATCCATCTTTTCATCTCTCTGCTACAAACTTCCACCCCTAGCTCACTCCTCTCATTAGCATACATCTTGGGCATACTTTTACGCTAGCCGTTTCGTGCAAACAGAAGGTGGGTTCGGCCAGATTGATCGCAGGCTGATGATGTTTGTAGTGGTGAATAAATCAAGTCAGAGTGTTGAATTGTTGACTGCATTCAGCCACACGCAATCATCTCATCCACTACTGAGACGTATTTCACTTCTGAACCGTATATATGGAACTCATAGCAAAGTCAAGGCATTACACATCAGTGCCTTTAAGAGGCCGGATTGGTGGTTGGATTCACTTATAATGTTCCTGACGTTATTGTATTCACGCGTTTCAAGCACAACAAATACAGGCTCTTTCTATGCGAGTAAGATCACTTTCAAAAGCGGAATGTTTTGAGTGGAACACCGTAATCACACGCCAACAAGGGTGCGTGTGACACGACAAATCTTCACTCGATGCACTCACATGTAAATTACGTCCAGCGTCGCGACTCCCACAAACTCATTCGAGTACAACTCTTCCAATAGCACTTTTTATTTTTGTTGAAAACAAATTAATAGGTCTTGCGTGTCCGTTTGTTGGTGAAATAATGCTTTACGTCCTTCTCTCGTCGAAATATTTCAAATAGCAAATTTTCCTTGTTCTTCAATACTTTTGCATACAAGCATACTTTCCCCAATTATGTCTTGCCGTCAGCGTTCTGTGGACGGTGGTTTTGGTTCAAGTTCGTGTGTTTGTTGATAGAAGTGCCAACGCAAGTTGACCGCGTGTCGACTGACTCACGCTACGCGCCGTTGCTGGGTCAGCAGTCTACAATGTGGCAGCATATGTACGACCTTAATGAAATATAATTTATTTAGGACAGCGTTTTCAGAAATGTCCTCATCAAATTCACCCTAATTGTCGCCCTCCTCCTCTCATCCCCTCAGCGTGACCTCAGGTTAGTAACCGGTGCTTAAAAATAATACGCTAGGTTTTTTATGCCTTCTCACTTGCATGGATTGAAGCTAAGCCACACTTTCCACCTAAGAAAACACCCTCTTTCCAACGTACAATAGAGGGATCGGGACGAGTAGCGGAAAAAGAGACATTCCTTTTTTGACAGAATATCTGTTTTAATTTACGTCCCACCTAATTTCCCAGTCCGTTAGGCATCCTCGCTGTTATTTGGGTAGAAGTATACCATTAGCAAACGATGTTCTAATATATCGCCTATTCGCCTAGACATCTCTTCACGTTTCGCCAAATTGCTTTTGCTGCACTTTCTTCTTTGCTCTGGGGCACATGAGCAATTCATTGGAGCGGCTATGCACTTGTTTCAAATAACAATCCATCCACGACCAAAGTCTGAAGTACATTTTTCGGCTAACTTTAACACTACGTGAATTTAATCTAGTCAGCATGGTTGAGGAAGGTTTTACAATGACTCATGCTTATATTTTGAGTTATTACCCCAAGTTGGGATGTGGATAATGTTCCTTGTTGTGGACTTAATCCTTCCCTGTAGCAGCGCCGAGCGACAAGACGACTCACCTCTTCTGCCTGGCTAATAGGCTAAGTTGCTCTACCGTTGATTTTTACGACCTATTTGGCACCTCAATGAAGGCTGCCTCTTTGCCCTCGAGACCCCGGTGCGTGTGTCCTCTTCAATTGCGTTTTTGTGCTGGGATTCTTAGTCAGCGCAACTCTCCCGCAAGTGGGGGATTGGGGGATTAATCGGAGCAGAGGACGATTCCTTTCAGTTTCAGTAGGCATCCATTACCTTTGTTGTGTTTCACACAGAGAAGAGGAGTATGGTGGAAAGGTTGGTAATAAATTACCCTCTTCGGCACTTTAGAGGGATTCGTGCTTCGACTGTTACCCTTGACACGCGATTTTACAGCTTTCCTTGGGAAAGGGGCGACTTCTGAGGCTCTACAATATGAACACATTTACATGTTGAATTACTATTGAAGTGGAAGTTTTATTGAGATTTACAGCCTTCAAAGCATAACCAAGCTCAAAGATAATAAGGTGAACATTGAAGTGTATGGCACTCAATGAAATGGCATAAATGAAGTCAGCCTCTTTCTAGTTCCAATGATGTGTGTACCATAGCTTCTCCATAACAAAAAAACATTTTATGAGATTGAGGGGAACTGAGTGTTGCGAAAGCTGCTTCGGAAAATATCAAAAGGGTAATTTTGTGAATACTGCATTCTCACAAGCTCCGTCCACTTGCTACTTTTGTTCATCAATCATCTATTTCCAAATCCGCTTCAGCGCGATGAATTTGAAGGTCCAAGTAAAGCCAACGTCTTTAATCGATTTGATGTCGTTTTTTATTTCCAGGCTACGCATAAAGAACCCCACCCCAGAGGACTTTGGGGAATACACCTGCGCTGCTGAAAATGCTGGAGGAAAGCGCTCCACAACAGCCTGGTTATTACCCCAACAAAGACAGAGTAAGTGTCTTCCCTCCTTACCCATTAATTTCCACCTGATTAGACCGCACAACAGTGGGACAAAGTAAGCAGTAATCTAAGTGTTACTATCTAAAAAACCCCGATCTTTATGTCGCAAATGACTCACCATATGCACCCCCTTATCATGGTGATTAATAGTGAGGAGACGGCTGCCTCATTGGGCAGTCTTGAAACATCACCAACTATCTTTCTCCGTTTAGCTTCTCTCTCATCTTCACAATCGGGATGGCCGGTCAAAGTCACACACACGTGAGTCCTATGCTTTCATTCTCACCACTTATTTCCTCTTACATGAAATAGTCGCGGCGGTAGAATTACGACCAGGGACGAGGAACATGGTAACAGAAATGAACTTAGTCTATAAAATTTGCTGCCCCCATTTGAAGTAATCCACTAATCACTGGGTCTGCTGGATGTGGAAGCGGCTTGCTAATTACTAAACCAACCCCTTTGGGAGAACTGCTAAGTGTAAAGCCTATGCGAACAAAATTGTAAAACTCAGGCCTGAGAATCGGGCTGAGCGCCTTCCCGAATTTATACATGAGTCTTCTAATCAACTCTAATTCAACTCTTACATTTCGATGCGTTATAAGAGAGATTACTTGCAATTTTATGGAGAGTTAATGGTTGCCAAATTCGGTACTAGGATGGCCTTTGGCTTCCACTGCTGTCATGCTTTCTTGATTATTAACCTTGTGCAGCGTTAATGCATTTAGATTTTCATTTCTCACTTTGAAAAAGGCAGCGACATCAAAATATTTGGTACTGCTTTGAACGAATTGTCGATGCTGTGAATAATTAAAGTGCCGCCACACGCCTTAAGAGGTTAGGAAATTCGACCAGCTTACGATTGTCAATGAGTCAGTTCCGGATACAACAGTTTTTTTCTCGAATTTAGAAGCGAGGGTGAAATTTCTGGAGTCGCCAAAACGACTGATGTCAGTGGGATTTCTAGAGCCCATTTCAAGTCTTGCCGCCTCACATTACAAATTCGTGTGTGGTGTATGCGGTCTAGCACGAGCATAAATATCCTGATTTTATCACCATTTGGGGAGGTTTTTATTTGCAAGAGCCTCTAGCGACGAATGGTGGCAAAGCACTGGCTTCTTTGGCGAGGTATCAACTAGTGAGATCGGCTTTATCATGTTTTAATTTTTATTTAGCGACACGGAATCAAAGAGTGGATTTTGTCAAATCTTCCAGAGCAATGTCTGTGTCCGCTATCTGAATGGCCACCGCGTCTATGTGTCGAATCTGCTCCATCAAACACTAGTTGAACAACAAATTTCAAAATGTAAGAATCCTTTTTCAGCTGCGTAATTTCAACTCAGTTAACAGTGGTTTCTGTGACATGAACGCAACGGCAAAAGTAATCCGCAGTCCAACTTTATTGTCTTATTGCTGCGAATTAACCCAAAGAAGGGAAATCGGTAAAGTAGTACTCGAGTCAGCAATTGTATGGACCGTGACTTACTTACCCACCTTTTAAATTGACTTTTATGTCAGCCCATAGGAAGAGTTGCCACCACTTCTCTCATCTTTGATTTAGGAGGCCATGAAACGATTTCACCACTACGGGTCGCTAATGTTATTAACCCCTAGGTTCTCCATTTCGATACCAGCAGCCGATAATTTCAAGTTTATTAATAAATAAAGACGATTTTTCAATACTGCGATCGCAAATCGGTCGGTTGTGAAAGTTAACGTCCTTTGTATACGTTTTCATTGGAGAAAATTAAAGTAATTAAATGATCAGAACGTTTTTATAGTTAATCTCATCCTGTATATAAATATGTTAGCAAAACTTGCATTTCAATATATCGGAATCCAGTCTATTTATCAGCGAATTTATGACGGATTTAACGTCAAGCTTCTGTGAATCCCACTGGTGACCACTCTACGAGCATGGAGTGGTGAGAATAAATCTGGCATTTCATACAGTGGTAAGAAATCTTGTGCAGCACTTGAGTTGGGTTAGACAGGCCTGTGATTTATTGGAATCGTGGAATGCGTTGCTGGCCTGTCCCTTTCTCTGTCCCAGTCTTGGCACCTGGTGTTTCTGTTAGTGCTGCTGTAGGACGGCTATGTTGGTGGCAGAGTTGTGATTAATCCCTAACAGAAGGGATGAATCAATGTGAAGGTGAAGGTGATGGTGTTACCTCTCCCTTCTTTGCCCATCCACCACTCCCATCATTTAACAGCCTTAATTTCAATGGAACTGGCTGACTCATTGTCACCTTCGGTTGGGCAGACAGAGGGGACCTTTGCAAGCCTATTTGAAAATGCTAAACATTCCGAATTACTCATAGCCCACCTTGACTTGGTCTGCACAATCTCTGGTGCATTTCTTTCACTATAGTCTCTTTGGATAGTAGTCGCTATCGTTTCTAGCCAGGTACACCTGGCTTTCGAGTTAATACACTTGTGATGATAATAATAACAACAAAAGATCTATATGTATGCCATATAAATAATCCCCTTAACTTGGTAGAAGTCGAATGGTTGACTTTTATTTGCGGAAGACAGTCCATTTATTCTCGGTTTTCTGGGTATGCCTCTCTAATCGGTGGTCAGGTTGCTTTCTCTACCTCTCCTCTGCAAGCCAATTAAAATGAGAACAGCTGTTGGAACGGCTGTCGAAAGCGGTGGTAGGAGAAGGGTAAAGGGGGAGAGGAGAGACGGTGTGAGTCACGGGCCAGTGTCTTCAGGTTTGGATTTCGCAACTTGGAAGTGGTAAGAGGTAGGGTTGTTTCCTTGAAAAAGAAGGAAAATTAACTCTCCTTTGTCATTTACTCCGCTCCCTCCATTTTATACACATAGGCTTGTGTTGAATAATTGTGAGTTAACTAACGTCCACCTATTTTCTAATTAATCTACCCAATAGCAATTACAGGTAGATGTGGACTACATGCTACTTAGATAGGTTTAAGTTGAAATTTCATCATTCCAAGTATTGGCTTGACCTATCAGTGGTAATACTCAGACTGTATCATCTCGGATCCTCCTGAAACCGTATTGTTATACTGTTGTGGTGGAAAGTTTATCATGGGCGCATGGAAGGACAAACCATGTCGTCGAGAAAACTACAAATTCTGGGCACTGAGGAACCCACTCAAATAAAATACCAGTTAATTGTAAAACTGCATTTTATTGGATTGATGCTTCACAAACGATTAGGTAGTCTTTACAGAATGTATCACGAGGTAAATAGGGTAGCCGTTTTTGGCTACTTGTACCAATGGTACAGCTCAGACGATTGAAAGGAAAAAGTGGTGTGTAGCGTATAGCAAATTAATGAATGCCTCCTCTATTTAACCCATGGCTAGGCTCTATTCACGCTTCACGATTCATTGCCCTGGATGAAAGTTTTTCTCATCCATTTGCATCTCATTTTTGCAAACAAAATACTACCGCTATTGCCGTCCATACGTTGCCCTCCCTATCCACTGCCACTGATCGCATTCCAGCGGAACTGATTCAAACGGTAAAAATGTGGTGCTGCTGTTTTGCCACACAATGGTTGATTTTTTCGCTCTCCAAGGCTCTCTTACAACTAATTTTCTTTTCATTTTGGAAAAATTCATCTTTTTCTTCTAGAAGAAAAGACGATGTGTTGTGAGTGATTTAACTGATTTTATTACTGTCATCTACAATTGGTGTAATGGTATCTTTGCTTGCATGAACAGTGATTGCCTCGGCTACATTGCGTAAATGGCATTCGGACGACAAGGATTGCATGGGTCGGATAATGGAGGCCACATG